ATTAAGTGACTGATGAGAAGAAAAATAGCTGTAACAATTGTGGGTCTGAGCCTCCGTCCCATGTTAAACACGTTGCCAAGCACTCTCTCACCTAACCCTCAAAACAATGCCAAGACTTTATGGACAAGCGAACTGAGAGCTGGCGATATAACTTGCCTGTGGTCACACAGGCTCTAGGTGGAGAGTTTCTCTGACTCCAGAGCCAGTGCTCCTGGCCACCAGCCTGGCCACTTGGCACAGGGCATAATTTATCACATGCCTAGTAAGGGCAATACCCAGCCAGCTTTCCCTAGATTTTTAAATAGGTTCTTCATGTGCCTAGTTAAGAGGTGGAGAAACAAGCTCACAGAAGGACCAAAGCCTCCACCTTATCACTGTGGATCCCGAGAGCCAGGATAGAAGGAGCCTCTGCAAGGGGCCCTGGGAGCCCCCGCCACCTCTCCCATCCCTCCCTACTGGGAAGCACGCACCTGAAGAGCTGGGAGTCCAAGCTCCTTCTACGGATGAGAGGCCAGACCTGCCTTCTCCCTGTTTGGCCGAGCAGGCATCCCCTTACACGAGGCACTGCCGAGCAGACGGCCGCCTGGCCCTGCACCCCTTACTGCGCTGAGTGAGTTCTGGCGGCAGCTCCCTGGCAGCTACAGTGTGATTTCCAACTGCTGAGGCTTTTCTGGCTGCTGTCCTAAAACACACCTGCTTGGAAAACAGTGCATTTGCTGATTCTCCCGTGTCTCCTGCAGAAAGCACAGGGGAGGGCTTTTTATCCAAGTCAGACGCTCTTAGTTTCAGGACCAGGTCCATCACTGACTGCACGTGTGGCCTCTCTGCCACTCTGCCTGTCAAATGGCATTAGACCACCTGCCTCCTCAGGTGGACCTTCACGTGGATGAGGAGATTCTGAAAATGGCCAGCACAGGACTTGGCACGTAAATGTTGGATGACAGAGATGAATGAACAGACGAAAAAGATTAAGTCTAGCAAAATAAACACTGCAAGACACCCATCAAGAATTTTCAAAGTGGTTGTTCCATGTTCTATTTTTAAAAGCTGTTACTTAAGGGAACTACGTGTTTAAAGGATTAAGTGGTGTATGTACACACTGTGGAGATTATTGAAGGGATTTCTAGGCATTTTAAAGGGCTTTGAAATTGATGATAGTAGTTCCATTAGAAGAATTTTAATAATGTGACTTCTGGAAAACTTGGACAGTTGCCCTTTATGTCCTTTATAAAAAAATGAAATAAAATGTGATGTTTTACTCTGGTGCTGGACAAGAGTTAGAAAATAGAAGAGACAGAGGAGGGGGCTGAAGACACGTGCAGGGGGTTCCTTTCCGGAGGGAAGAGTTAGGGGAGGTGTTTATTTCCTTTGCATGCCTTTCTGCACTGGATGCTTTCTTTAATTGTTCCAAATGAGTAGTATTTGTGATAGTCAGGAAAAAAAATAAAACTATTTTCAACTTGAAAAACAAAACAAAAATAAGGGCCCTACTAGAAATCCATTTCTGTTTCCATATCGAACCCCATCCTTCCTTATTTTATTCTGGATTTAAAGAAAGAGACCATGACAGGCTCCTAAGAAATCAGGCCACCAATGCCTTCAGACAAAAGAGAGACAAATGAATTCCAGGATTCTGATAAAACCATGAAGACTTCTAAATTCTTTTCAAGTATTTTAAAGATTTTAGGATCTTACACTCCCACTGGTGATGTGATTTGAGGAAATGACTTAACTTTCTTAGGCCTCTGTTTCTTTAAATGTTAAAAGGGGAAATAGAGTAACTACCATATAGGAGTGATAATTACATTTCAAACAGTGTAAGCAAAGTGCTTTTCACAACCTGCACCACATAGTTACCATCACCACCATCAGCAACTGCACCATTACCACCACCATCACCATTACCACCACCGCCTTCGGTTCTGTCATCACTATTGCCACCAGCATCCTTATCACTGCCACCACCACCGTCACCATCATCACTACCACCACTGTCACCACCACTACCACATTCACCATCACCGCCACCACTGCCGCCACAACCACCACTACCACCATTGCCACCATCACTACCACCACCACCATCACCGCCACCACCACTGTCACCACCACCATTGCCACCAGCATCCTTATCACCATCACCACCACCATCGGCACCATCACCACCAGCATCGTCATCACCGACCTCCTCACCAGCACCATCACAGCACCTTCACCTTCATCATTTTCACCCCTTATAAGAGACTGTGGGCCTGTCACTCCCCTTCTCTGACCTTCAGCTCAGTCTAAAATGCAGGGAAATAATGCAGAGGAGTTTTGAATTGTCATTATAGTAGCTGACTCTGGGTGCCTCCCATGTGCCAGGCTTACACTAAGTTCTCTGACTACCGAACAGTAGTTCATTTAATCCTCACACACACCCCCAGTGGTAAGTCCCTACCATCATCATGTCACAGGTGAGAGACCTGAATTCCAGAGGAATGGGATGGAGCCGGGACTTAACCCTGTTCTTGCTGACACCGGAGCCCAAGCCCCGGCCCACTGTGCTTCACCACCTTCTCTGGTTGTGAGGTTCAAGGGAGATAATGGGAATGAAGACCCACCGGCACTGTGGGCTCATGATGCTTATAGTCCCCCTGACGACCCACTGAAGGAAAGAGAGAGCAGGCCTGACCCAGAAGCACTGTGATCTCCAGGGGGTCTTAATCATTCCTCCATAGAACCTGCAAACGTTTACTGAGAGCCTCCGACGTGCACCCTCGGTGCTGTGCTAGGAGCAGGGGCCCCAGCCAATAACCAAGTCATGGCCCCAGGCCTGAAGCGACAAAGAGATTGTCAGTGTAAGCTGAAGCAGCAGTGTGGGAAGTGGAAACTGAGTCATCCACGGGTGCTTCCAGACCACAGCAGGGAGGTCAGGGAAGGTGGAAAAGACCAGCCCTCAGCCCTGTTGGGCTTTGGAGCGGCCGTGAACTGGAGCAGGAATGCCGCTCGCAGCTGGGATCGCTGCAGGACCAGCTGGTTGTGTGACACAAATACTGCCTGCCAGCGCAGTAATATGCTCCCTACAGACCTAAAGGCTGGTTTTAACACATTTCAGTGTGTAACCATTGTTCTCACCTATTTGACTGATGCCTTTCAGATATGGAAAGTCTACTTTCTTTGTAGTAAACAGCATACCAAATATTTTCAAAATCGAATTTTGAGTGTTTAGTTCAAACAAGTAAATATTGGCTGAGTACTATCTTCCGTCAAAGATGCCAGGTAAAAGGAGAGGCTGCTCACAATGGAAGCTTCGCCTCCATCTGATGGACAGTCTCCACATTCAGCCCCTTCCTTCCGTCCCCACTGCCACCGTCCGAGCCCTCCAGACAGCCGTCACCTCCTTCCTGTACTGCCCAACAGCCACCTGCATCCACATCTATGCCCTCCAGTCCTTTATCTAAACTGTAATGAGCTGTATGAAATGCAAATTGACCACATCAACCCCTACTTAAAACCCCTCACTGGTTTTCTCCAATAGCCCCCGTCCTTGATCGGCAAGAGCTGCCTAATTGGCCCTGCTCACCTTTGCTGCCTCTTGCCTTTCTCCCCTCACCCAGCCATCCCGAGGGCCTCTGTTCGAGACCTTGACCCAGTCCTTTCACCCTTCAGGTGCCCTACCATCCCTCCACCCCACACAGTCTTCCCCAAATCTTCACAAGCTGTGTTTCCTCCTTCAGGCCACATCCAGCTGTCACCTCCCCGGGTACCCCTCCCCCGACCGCTGCCGAGGCAGACCACCCGTTGCCCTGCGCCTTTCCTCCAGTGTTCTCACTACTTACTTATCTGTCCATTCACTTCCTTTGTCATTAGCAAGTCGCCTTTTCTCCCCCAATAGGTGAGGCAGTCCCCTGAGGTCAGGGACATTGTCGTTCTCAGCTGCCACTTTTGACCCAGCCCCAATGTAGTCAGTCAGCATGGACGGCTGATGGAATGAATGGCTCCACCAGGTGGTTTCCAAAACGTTCAGTGTCTCCCTAGAGTTTGTCAGATGTCCCTGGGGGATTCCCCTTCCACTATCTGCCTGCCTTACCTGTGGCACAGCAAGGCGTGGCTCTGATGGGCAAGGTGGGGACTGCAGTTGGGGGTGGTGGTGCCCAGTCCCAAGTCCCATTGAGTGGGACGTTTGGGAACAGGAGGTGTGGGCCTCAGAGATTCCCAGCCGGGTGGGGCCTCCCGTGGGCATTTGGGAATGGGTGGAAGCAGTTTGGGTTGCCAGCAGTCAACAAGGGGCACTCCTGGCTTCAGGAGAGGGGTGATAAACAGCCTGCAGTTGCACAGTCTCTCAAGGTAAAGAATTGTCCCACCCCCATGCCAGTGACGTTTCCACTGCGCCACACTCAGCTGCCAGGGCAGCTCAGGGATGGGGGCCACCACACACCCAGTCGGGGGGCAGATAAGCCCAAAGGCCGGTCAGTTGGCAGGGGCTTCCATTCTCTGCCAAGCAAGGATTAGCAGAAAGAAACCTGAGTTCGGAGGTCAGAGTCCCAAGCCTGAGTTCTGGCTCCACTACTCAGGAGCTGGGTAACCTTGGGTAAATCAAGTAACCTCTCTGGGCTTTGGTATTCTCACCTAGAGTATATGGTAGCCAAAACTTGACTGACTCAGCTATTCTGAAGATTACATTAGAAATATTCATAATACAACATATTCAGTAAATGTCAGGTGCGTGGCAAATAAGATTTGTACAGATAGTGCTTGGTGGGCCACAGCCTGATACAGAAGGCTTTGGGAGAACCGCGAGGGTGAGTTCTCTATTGTTTGGAGGTCAGAGAAGTGCTTTTCATACCCTTAGGTCTCAGGCTAACTCCTGCCCCCAGCCTGAAGCCATTGCCCACACAGGCAGAGCCACCTCTTAAAGAGGGTGCTGCCCTGCGCCAGGGCAGGGCTACAGCCTGGCCAATGGAGACGGACGCTGGCGGCCTCCAGGGTGACCGATCCCTCCCGGCTCTACCCCGCAGGTGGCATTCCCTTCATCCTGACCGGGGAGTTTTTCCAGCAATCCCAGCGGCCGGCTGCCTTCATCGTCGCGGGCTCTGTCAACTGGCTCTCCAACTTTGCTGTCGGGCTCCTCTTCCCATTCATTCAGGTACAGCTGACCCTGGGTGCCTTGCCCACGGGATTCCCTCTGATTTGGCAGTCCTCTGAGTGCAGGGTGACTGATAGAGCAGAGGCTGAGCCTCTCTCAACTGGAAACTCATGCTATTGGCCTAAGAAAAGGAGAAAACTGCTTTGGCCCCAACCCTTAATCCTGTTTCTCCCTCCTGCACCTCCCCGGAGCTGTGCCTGAGTGCTGAGGCTGCCTCAGAAGGAAATGGCTTCCAGTAGCTGAAGGTACGCAAGGAAACCTAGGTTAGAATCTCAAATCTGCATTTTTCCCATGTGCTCATCACTGTGTTAGACAAAGTCTGTGTAATAGTTCCAGCGCATGCTGCAGCCTACCATGCCCTTCGCATCTGCATTGTCATCAGTATAGCCACAGCCATTGGAGTCATTGTCCCAAGGGTGATGGTGATTGACAGGAAAATGCTAAATGAGGAAATGGACACAGTTCTTCCTGTGTAGGTAAAGAATCTGTTCATTCACTCACTCATTAATTCAACACGTTATTTATTGAGTCCTTACCATGTACCCAGCACTGTTTCAGGCAATGGGGACAAGGTGGGGACAAATCCTGGGCTCCATGGTCCAGGAGCTAAAAAGGGAAGCAACGGAGGTCGACATGCTATTTTAGATGAGGTGGTCAGGGACATCCTCTCAAAGGGGGTGACATTTGAGCAGAGACCTGAGTGAAGTGAGGGACCAGCTCAGAATGGAGAAGTCCAGGCAGACAAATAGCAAGTGCAAGGGCCCTGAGGTGGGGCATTCTTGGCCTGTGCAAGAAACAGTAAAGAGGCCAGTGTGACTCAACAAAGTGAGCAAAGAAGATGAGATAGAAGAAGAAGGAAGTAAGATCAGAGAGTTCTCTGGGGACAGGAACACAAAAGACAAGGACACTTTAAGTGTTTCACCCAGAGCAAGGGGCCCAGCTGCACATGCAGACGGCGGGTCAAACTTCCCTTCTCTAATGCCCACCAGGGCTCCTTACTGCCCATGAGAACAGGAGATAACAGTGGTGAAGGGGAGAATCCATCAGACACATCTAGAAAGGACATCCATTCCTGGGGCCATTTAGCCCCTCTCCCCTCCCTCTTAATTGATAGTCCACCTGTTGATAAGCTAGTACCAAGCCCAGCACATCTTGGAGACTCTGCTGCAAGCTTGCCTGAGTCAAAGGCCAGCTGCCTCCACAGTTACAGGGCAAAACTCTGTGCCAGGTCCCCAACACATGGCTTCTGTGCTCGTGTCATCCCCACATAGCTCTGAGCTGGGGTTTCTCATCCTTTCTAATTTACTGCAGATAAGCTGAGGCTTAAGGAGCAGCAGCAGCAGCCCAAGCCCCACAGTCCCCATCAAGCCCCATTCCTCTGCCCACCACCTCCTCCTTGTCCACATTCTCTGCCTGCCACTCATTATGGTCATCTTATCTCGGAGTTAGAGGATGACGCACAATGTAAGTTTTCAAGCGTCTTTGCATTTTAGCTACAAAGATCCCATCTCTGAAACTAAGTGCCGTGAGGAGTCCATGGGCAATGGAATTCTAGAAGGTTCCTGCATCCCTTCACTCACCTCCGTGGGGCACCTTTCCCCAGCTGTGGTCAGAACATAACAAGTTGTCTCTTCAATTGACTTCAAACCTTAAATGGCTTTTTCCAGTTTGGTTCAAAGCCAGCAGAGCAAGGGGTCAGTAAAATGCTCATTATTTGGGGGGAAAATTAACTTCAGACCTCTTCTCTGTCGACACCAGTCTCTCCACCATCCTTACAAACTTAGTGGAGAAATTCTGGAGCCTTCGCATGGCCCACAGTTAAGCTTTATATGCTGGGAGGTAGTGCCTGGATTTCCACCTTTAGTAGATCAGGAGACAGGAGCGCAGAGTTGTGTAGTGGCTCCCAAGGTCACCCCACTGGGAAATGTCTTATCCTCACCTGTAAGACAAGGGGAGAAAAGAGCCCTTGGTTATACAGCAGGTGACGCCATCTTGAAAGCCTGTTTGAACTGGATTTGAGTAGTTAATTTATCTTTAAACAGACACGCATCCCAGAGAGGTCTGCAGCTGAAATTGGATCCACCTTACCTTTCTTTCATGCTTATCATTTGGCAATTCGTAGCCCATCCACAGCTTCTTCCAAATGGAAATGTAGTCCTGCATCGCTCTTGACGTGCTTTCTGAGACTCGGTGTGTCTGGGGCCCAGTTTCATGCCTAGTTCCATGAAACGCATGCTTGCTCAGCCTACTCAGTCAGATTGCTTGTTAAGGACAGTGACCATGATTGAGCATTTGTTATGTGCCAGGTCACATGTGTAGTCACACCAGTGTCACCATGAGGAAAAGGTGCCCCCAGGGTGATCTCATGTGTAGGACTTCACAGAGAAAGCCAGTCCATAGCCCTGGAGCAAGAGTATAAGCGGGAGGACTCGACCCAGCTTAAGGGCTCAGGCCCTGGAGGGATCCACCTGCCCACAGAGCTGAGGAGGCCCCACCATGCACAAACGACACAGGTCTGCGTGCCCATTGTAGAACATCCAGACCTGACGCTTCCTCTCAGATGTTCTGGGGGCACAGGTGTCAGTGGTGAGATGTGGGCACACTCTTTACAAGTTCGGGTTTGGGGGTTGAGGCCATGCAAGAGAAAGACATGTGGTCAGGAGGCCTGGAGAGCAGGTCTCAACCATTCCCTGGGAGGTTTTTGTCTCAGACCTCATCACCACCTTTGGGGCTAGAGCTGGAGAGAAATCACCTGACCCTGACCTTGACCTTGTCTGGCAGTGTCTGCAGCCACACAGGGGACATGGCAGGTGGTCTGGAGGGGCCAGGGAGGAATTCAAACTGCACAGCCCTCTCTGCAGGATCACACTGGGTCAATGCAGCACAGTGGTGAGAAGCTTGCAGGGCTACGTGAGAAAGCAGGGGCTGTGTGTGGAGCAAATGAGGACATGGTGGATCTCCATGCAGGAAGGGAACCCCCACCTGAAGCCCATTATACCTCTCTGCTAAGAGGTCATCAAGACTTTGCTTGGTGTCTTCTAGAATCAAGGGTCTCAAAGACCCTAAAGAAGGGGTGATTCCATCCTTGCAAATCTGATTCTTAGAGCACTCCCTTATAGGGCCAAAATGATGGGTCTATGGACACAAGCTTCTGTGTCTGTGTCCAGAACAAGGCGACCGGAGCCTGCAGTCCAGGCCCTAAGCTATGTGTGCATGTGTGGGGCCCACGGCCTGGCCGTGACCAGATGAATGGCTGAATGGGAGCTAATATCTGTCAAGGACCCACAACGGGGCACGAGACACCCTTGACCACGTTAAACAGGAGGTAACTCTGAGTGTCATGACTGAGCCGAGAATGTGCTGCTGCGGAAGAGCAGGCCCAGCATTCAAAGCCACGCCCCTCCTGCCACCCCACCAAAAACTATTTGGATTTCAAAATGCACATACTCATTCATTCATTCATTCATTCATTCCCTAGGCCCTTGCCAAGCATATACCACATGCCAACCACTGCAGCAGGTGAGGGGACACACTGACGATAAGATCTGCTCAGCCCTCGGGGCTCCAAGCCAGGGTGGGCTTTGGGTGAGGCAGCAGGGATGAGCCCAAGGTATGGTCACACCACGCAGAGCAGGAGAAGGCCTACAGCACAGCGTGTGCAGAGTCGCAGCAGCTCTCACAAGAGGGGGTGGTTATTCTAATGGCAGGAGTCAGCCCAGGGATGGGGGTGCAGGGGCGTATCTCAGAGGAGAGGCATGAGCCAGGAGAAGGGTGTCCAGGCCCGGACCAGCTTTAGCAAAGGCTCAGAGCTGTGGAGGTACATGCTACGTGCAGCAGTCCCGAGCGGTCCAGAGTGCTTGGCACAGAGCGCTGGGGGAGGAGGAGTATGCCCGGGAGGGGGGCTGGGCAGGAGGACTCCACCCCAATCATGGTATTTTAACTTTGGGGCCAGATATAAATGAGGATTTGACTCCAGTGTCTGGCTTGAGAACTGTGGACACAGGCTTGTCGCACTGCTGCTCCCGGCGCTGAGGGATGGAGGTTCCTCTCCTCCTCCGGCTCCGCAGGGAACAGGTTGCCTTTGACAGCAGTAGCGACCCATCAGTCAGGAGCATTCCCCTCACCCTGGCGCTGGCCCCTGGGATCCCCACTCCCCTGCCGGGGACCCCGTGCTTGTGTTTGGAGCAGGAGGGTGGAGGCGCCTTGAGTAGAGCTGCAAAGACCCTCCCCACCATGACGCTGCTCAAGCTCATGATAGCCCATGTCCTGGATCGCTTTGCTCTGGAGACTGAGACGTGTGGGGCCCGGCCGGTCTGTGATGTGCCCACAGTCATCCAGCTATTAATGCACAGGGGCAGGATGCAAACCCAGGTCCCCTGGTTTCAGTAGCCCATTCCCAGGAGGCAGTGGGGCAAAGAGAAGGGAGTCGTGAATATGGGAATGCAGCGGCAGGGTGCTGAGTAAAGGCCCCACAGATATCAGCCCCTGATCCCTGGAGCCACCAAGTGTCACCTTATATGGCAAAATTGTCTTCATAGATGAGATGAAGTTAGGGGTTGTGAGATGGGAGATTATCCTGGATTAGGGGGCAGGCCCTAAACGAAATCACAAGTGTTTTTTAGGAGGGAGATTTGACATGGACAGAAGAAGCATATGAGATGTGACTATGCGGGCAGCTTGGAGCGATGTGCCCACATGCAAGGAATGCCAGCAGCCCCCAGAAGCTGAAGGAGACAAGGAGCAGATTCTCCCCAGAGCCTCTGGAGGAAATGCAGCCCTTCCACCTGGATTTCAGCCCAGTGGTATTAATCCCAGACATCTGGCCTCCAGAACTGTGAGAGAGTACATTTCTGATGGCTTAAGCCACCAAATTTACAGTAATCTGTCAGCAGCCACAGGAAACTAATATAATAGGAAACCACCAAGATTGACAGCTATCGCTAACATTGAGTAATTACTGTGTATCTGGATCTATCCCATGCACTTTATATGTCATAATT